AGCACATAATGTAAGGTTAGGCCACCCTGCAAGTAGGTTTGTATCAAAATGCGAACCAAATCAACCTCTTAGGGACACGGGTCTCTTTATTGCATCATGCTTGCCATTTCCACGAAGAACTGGATGTTCCAGGAGTGGCTTGTAACCACGTCAGTAAAAAAAGACACACTGTAAGCCTTTAATAAACTACAAACTGCTTATTTGCAAATAGACAAGCTGAGCCGCAGAAAGTAGTCACTAGGCCTAGGAATGCCAACCTTTCTTTCTTTTTTTTGTAAATAATTTTTATTTGATTTTACAAGTGTAAAATTATAATAATATCAGATACATACTCAAGATTTAGAGATTTCTCTGAATCTCAAGACTTCCCACCATCCCCTGCATGGGTCCTATTGTCATCAATTTCAGCTGCATATTATTTCATCATCCAGATTTTAAGTCTATCCATATCATCCAAAGTATTTGTTACATTACCAGTGTTGTTAAAATCCTGCTATTGTTTTCATTTGCTTACAGTGGTCTCTTAAATAAATTATAAATCTTTCCCATTCTTTCTTGAAAGTTTTGTCTTGATTCCTGAGCCTTCTGGCCAGTTTTGCAATTTTGGCGTAGTCCAACAGCTTAATTTGCCATTCTTCTCTGGCAGGGACTTTGTCTTCTTCCCATCTCTGGGCTAGTAGCATCCATGCGGCTGTCGTAGCATACATGAAAAGTCTTTACTGCTCCTTTGGAATCTTGGTACCTGTTGTTGTTGTTGTTGTTGTTTAGTCGTTTAGTCGTGTCTTCGTGACCCCATGGACCAGAGCATGCCAGGCACTTCTGTCTTCCACTGCCTCCCGCAGTTTGGTCAAACTCATGCTGGTAGCTTCGAGAACACTGTCCCGCCATCTCATCCTCTGTTGTCCCCTTCTCCTTGTGCCCTCCATCTTTCCCAGCATCAGGGTCTTTTCCAGGGAGTCTTCTCTTCTTGAGGTGGCCAAAGTCTTGGAGCCTCAGCTTCACGATCTGTCCTTCCAGTGAGCACTCAGGGCTGATTTCCTTCAGAATGGATGCGTTTGATCTTCTTGCAGTCCATGGGACTCTCAAGAGTCTCCTCCAGCACCATAATTCAAAAGCATCAATTCTTCGGCGATCAGCCTTCTTTATGGTCCAGCTCTCACTTCCATACATCACTACTGGGGAAACCATAGCTTTTACTATATGGACCTTTGTTGGCAAGGTGATGTCTCTGCTTTTTAAGATCCTGTCTAGGTTTGTCTACAATTCCTTTAAAAAATGCTTCTGGTTTCTTTATAAAGGTTATTTTAAACATTTTTTTTCATTTCATTATATATCATTTCCCAGAGTGCTTTTACTACCTTACACGTCCATTAGGAATGCCGACCTTTCAAACAGCATTGACCCCCGCAAAAGCACACACTCTTGCAGTTTCCACCGAGACTGCTTTTTTCCAGCCAATAGCGAAATTCAGTGCTTTTCTCACTGCTAGCATCAAAGCTCTTTCTCCAGTCTCCAGCTACAAATGCACACAAACAGAACACTCATTTCCAGTCCTAGCTCTGCCTGTGACGTGTAAGCTGCAGATACCAGTTTGCTCAGAGTAGCCACCGGTCATCACAAGCCATTAAGCAAGCGACTGAGCTGTCCAGAAGCCAAGCGAGGTGGGCACCTCTCCACTCAGCGCAGCACAGCAGCACCCAGTAATGCTCTTTTAATGAGAACTTTGGACCCAGCCCTCTCAGCCAGCTTTTATCTCTGACAGGCATAGCTGAACAGTGTTTGCTTAGCAACGGCAGCCATTCTTCTGTCAAATACCACACTCACTTTCACTATGGTTAATTGGAATGATGTTGCCCGGTGCAACAGTCATCAAGATGCTGAATTCTTTTTCCGATGGGTGGAGAAATGCAAAGAAAAGCAAGAGCGGGAGGAGGATGCTGGCTCCACGACAACATCTGAGAAATTGATTTTAGCGTCAATTAAAGATTTGTGGCTTCAGGAAAGTTAGGGGATTTTGCTTCCACCTTGCTTTTGTATACTGAAATGGATTAAATAGAATACAACCAGCCTCAAAATATTATTTCCCAAGGCCTGGAAAACACCCACACCTGCTTCTTAACAATTGTAGGGTGACTTTTGAAATTCTAAGCATTTGCCATTCCTCCATATTGCTGGTGGCTAAATAGATAGCATTACTCACAGACATTTCAGAGGTGGAAATAGAAAGGATTACGTCCTACCGCCTTGCACATTTGAGGTGGGGGAAAGCTCATTTACATTGGATGTGTTGTTGTTTTAATTCTGTAGTAGCCTGTCCTCAACTGGTTTCAAAGTCAAGAGTGTTGAATATAACTAGAACAGGGGATGAGGAACCTGGAATTGTTGGATTCCAACTCCCATCAGTCCCTGTCAATACAGCAAAAGGTCAGGGATTGTGGGAATTTCAGTCCTGCAGCATCAGGAGGTCCACAGCTTTCCCATCCCTGATCTGGAGGCTGCTTTTCAAAGTGGGAGGCATTATATATATATATATATATATATATTTAATAAACCTAGCCTCACATTTGGCACCTGCTTTGAGGGTTCTGCTCTGGAAAACAAGGAAACAGAAATAGATCGAACTACTCCTGAGCAGGTGTAGAGTGCATTTCCCTCACTGCTGAAGGACTCCAGAGAGTCATCTGTAAAATGAAATCCAGAAGGGGAGGAGGGTCGGAAGATGGAGCCTTTGAAACCCTGGACAGAAGAGGCCACATGTTCACATGGCAACAGTTGTTTGCAAATCCCTCACCTTGACACTCTCAACTACAAGGTTGTTCAGGAGGCATTGGGGCTGCAATAAGATTGCACCCAAATTTTCACTGACTTTGTTTTAAAAACATGCACGTGTTTTTGGGTTTCCTTGTCGCTTTGCCCAAACTGCTTTCACTGGGGCTGTTTACCAGATAACACTTATCTAAAAAGCACCTCCAGGCGACAGAAAACAAATGAGAAATGCCAGCCAGAAGGAAACACAAGACTGGAATTCTGTTTTCTCTCCGCCCCACTGCCCTGTATATTGCGAGCTGATTTTGCAGCTTGGTCTTCTGGTGCTGAATGTGCAAAATGGAATAAATGGTTTGACACGACATGGCTTTTCCAAGGGGATCCTCTCCCCTTCCTTAGCATTTCAGAAAGAGAGAAACCACGCCTTTGGCAAAGGTTAGGCTGGGCCTCGGGGAAAACGCTTGGCACCAGGCAGTTCTGCCTGCAACCATTTCCGATCAGCATAAGTACGTTTTTCATGGCAGTCACTGGCAAGAGTGACAGAAGGGCCCAGCTCCAGGCATTTGCCAAGGCGGCCTCGTGAAGGCCACCCGTTTGCCAGTGGCACTGTGAACTATTTCCTGACGGGGCCTGATGTGGATAAGCAACTAATCAGTGTTTTCCTGCCCCAAGCTGGAAGAAGAATAGGGCCACAGCAACAGTCCATCCAATGGACTGGTGGGACATTTGGCCCCAGAAGTGGCTCAGCCATAGGACAGTGTTGCTTTGGGTACAGAAAGAGCAGCACTTGGAGAAATGAATGCTGGAAGCAAACAGCCTAAGAAACTCAAAAAAGAATCTTTTGCTTAGTGCCTGGCGTGAGTCCTGTGAAGCAACAGGAACTGTTTCTTTGCCATCTTCCATCCCTTTTTTCAAAATGTGCCAAAGGCTGGAGGTTTTCTGCAGACCCAAGGCCCAGGTACAGTTACCAGTTACTTGAACAGCATTAGGGTGCAATGAAGGGCATTGCATGTCTTTAAAACAACAACAGGTGCAGCTGTTTTTTAGATTATGTATCTCTTGCTAAAAAAAAGAAACCCCTTTGGAACAGTAGCTGAATAGTGCGCTGTGGGAGTACCAGGAAACAGCAGACAGAGAGGACCCTCTGGGCAGTAGCCTAAGCAGACTATTGTGATTAATGTAACCCTTGAAC